ATTATGCAAGAAAACATAACTCTAAATTTATTATTAGATTAAAAATTGTTCGGATCTCCCGACAAGTTATCATGGGTCTTAGGCATCGACCATTGTCACCATCTTGATAACCAGTCGAACATAGGATATGAAGAGCATGATATGGATCTCTTTGACCAAAACTCGGTTTGCTATGAATTGTATGGTCATGATTGTGTTGCGCTGGTAATTGGTAACCAATCTTTCGGAATATCACACATTCGCAGCGGAACTCAAAAAGTTTTTTTTTTTAATTTTTTTGTATATCCCATATTTTTATTGCGTTATGCTTTTCAAGTTAGTCTCTACCATATATGGCACGAGAGGAATCAAATGCGACATGGAGAAGTTGTAACACCATCAACGTCTCTTATTAAGACTATTGACAAGACCGTAATGAACCGCATAAACTTAATCTAAAGCGGAGGAGATCAATCTTTAATGGAGATCATGGAGCAATGGCTCATGATTCGACCATAACTGGCCTAAAACATGTTTTAATATAATTTGCTTCAAATTTGATTTTAAAAAAAGATATATTTATTGTAAAAATGCTTTTAATTGAATATAATTTTATATTTATTTTTAAAAAGACATAAAAAAGAGTATATAAATATGTAAAAACGCCGACCAAAAAAAAATATGTAAAAACGCAAGCCAGTAGATATATAAAAAGATATAATCCACTTTTGCGAAGATGGACATGAGTCATGTCACATGACATACTAAACAAGACAGGAAGATCACCGAGACAAAAGATCTGTACTGTGTATCTTGGTAATGTTATTGACCAAAAGCAGTAAAGGGTAATAAACAAATATTACTTTTGTAAGAAAATTGATAATCTTTGTGATATTAAACTAAAAAGAATGGAATATTAGGCATGCAACGATTTGACAGACACCTAGCTGCTACTCTCAACCCTCTGTCACTTTCCTTTTTATAATTTTTGATTCATCGGATGATAGGAATTAGGAAACTAGTGGAGAATATAATCAAGTTATCAACCTTAGTTTTCTTCAAAATAAGATAAACTGAAGTTGTTAATAAGAAAAAGTGAAAAACCAAGCTTGTTTCCTTTTAGTGCCTAAAATCAAACTAATGGTTTAAGTGTTTTGCTACGACCAAAAAAATAACAAAAAGGTTTTAAGTGTTTTGCAAAGCTCGACTATAGTTTCTTAACAAACTACCAAACTCATCTCCATTTAAAACTAATGAATATTTAAAAGAATGAAGAGCGAAAGTAAATTCAAAAAAAAAAAATGAAAGTATCAAAAAGTATTATTAATGCTCCCAATAATTATTTTTAGTTCTTATAAAGAATTAAACCTTGACCAAGATTACAATACCTATGATTTGTCAGGCGTTCTTAAACAAAGACGGTTAGGGCATGTGTAATGCTTAGTTTTTAGCCAAGTTCTTAAATATAAAATTATTAAAACACACACTCTATTTTCCTTTTACTCAATTTTTTATTTTTTCTTTCATCATTTTACTCAAATTTTATTAATTTTATATTTAAACACTCTCTCATCATTTTAAGAACGTTCTCCAAAAGTTCTTATTTAAAAACACTTTTCTTCCTTTTACTCAACTTTTATTAATTTTATATTTAAACATACCCACTATCTCTTCTCTTTATTCAAACAAAAACACTCTCTTTCTTTTTTTTACTCAAATTTTAATAATTTTATATTTTAAAAACATGCTTAAGAAACACCATTGCACATGCCCTCTGGGATTTGAAACACTAAACTAATAATTATTCAATCGTTTATTTTTATGAGAATTATTATACCTTTTGTAACTTTGACTTTTTTTTACTCTGTCTCTCTACTCCTACAGTCATACTGCTAGGACTTTATCTTATTTACTTATTTGAAATTCCAAACTGATATAGTTTATTACTCTCTAGGCACTGTAAAAAAAAAAGATAATATGGCAGCTTTTAACATCTAGTGGATCTATGAATAGAATACCATGTGACTCATGTCTATAAGTTATAGTATTATTGACATTAAACCTTTCCTAATCTGCATTAACACTTTCTTTTGCAACAAAAGTTGTTTATTATTACCAATGAAAGCAATTATATGGACTTTGGTATGTCTAAACTTAAGGATAAACAATCATTGTTTACTGTTTACTACAGAAAGAGTTTTACGAAAACATAAAAAATTTCTTTTAATGTAAAATATCCTTTTTAGCATAACTAAAATACAATATTACAGCCGGCAAAAAAAAAAACAATATTACAATGTAAAGTCTGCAAGAAGAAACCAAAAAAAAAAACAACTTTCAAAATTTAGAAAAATACTCACGATGCAAATGAGGATTGCTGATTAGATTGGAGAACAAATCTAAGTGTGATTGAACAAATCAATCAGAAACAAAAAAAATTCAGCCTTCTCAATAATATTTTAAAGATCTGAAGACTTTAAATCTCATAAAATTCATATAACATTTACATACATATTATTTTTTAGCAAAAAAAAAAAAACATTTACATACTTTGTGAAGCTATCACACTTATATTAGGGAAATAAATTTGATCAAAATTGTCACAGTGAAAATAAGACGTGAGAGATTTAAGAGACTAACATTTTCCAAAAGATTTCGTAAAGAAGAAAAAGAATGTAAGGAAAAGGACATGTGGTGTTCTCGTTTTAGCTTTCTCTACTTTTCATGAAACCAACCCCAACTCAACTCTTCCTTCTTTGACCATACAGTTTCACAAATACTATTTACTACTTACTGCTCACTAATGATATGCTTTTGGTACATAACTAGTATTATATTATCACATCAAATTGATTTTATATTAAACATTTCTATTTCTACATGTATAAAAAAAACATGCAAGTTGTGAAGTTGTATTGAACACCATAATATTTGATAAATGCCCTAAACTTTGGATGGTTTAAAAGAGGGATCCTATGAGAATATGTGACTAAAGACAATTTGATAATGGGGATTAGCTTTTTTTTTTCTTTCTTTATAAACATTTTTTTTCTGCGACTTATACATTTTTCTCTCTTATTCCATAATTTCCGACTTTACCAAACCCAAATTCATTTTTTTTTTTCATTGTAATTTCTTCTCTGCCTATGTACGAAACCTTTCACAATCTATATTTACATATATAATTATATATTGTATGTAGCTCCCCACAAAACAAAATAAACTCACCCCTAACCCAAAACTTGATTGATCATATCTCAAAAATATAAATAAATCCAAATCCGCCTTTTCCTCTCCTCGAGATTTACCTTTTTACCCTTCTCGACGCAGCCATTTTCAACAGAAGAAAATGTTAGTCCATGAAGCTATAATGAACTTCTATCATCATCTTTTAGCCGTCTTCGATGAAGATCCTACTGATGAAATCTGTGAATCTTTTGGAATAGAGTTTAGGATCCACGGCTGAAATTGAAGCTGGATCAGCTTGTAATGATTTATACGCATGCTCGATCTTTTTGGTTATGTCGTAGTCTTGCAAGATGTCAATGACTCCAAAGTAGAGAACCACTTCGTACATCTCACCGTGAGCTGATGTATACTGATCAAAATCGCTTCTTCGGGCCATTCGTTCCGCTCTTGCTGGCATGTTTGCGCCTAATCTGATCGATGGTTTCCTGTAACAAAGATAACGATGGAATCATGAATTGAATGAGTCTTTCAGAAATATGGGCAAACAGGACCACATGATCTGTTTCACACCTCACTATAATTGCCAAGCAAATTATAAATCATTCCTACATTTTATCTTATACTAATTACAAGAAATTGTTGTATCTCTCAACCACTAATCAAAGACTATTAATGCAAAAAGCTTCTTCTGTGAAGTCAACTTCTTAACATTTAAAACGAAACCCGGGTAACTGATTGTCAAAATATTAATGTTTATGTTACCTGCCAGCTAAAATCCGGTCCATGTCTTGAAGTTCAGCTTCTAGGAAGCGACAACCACGCATGAATTTCTCATCCTGATATGAATCTATCCTACCTGCACAAGATATTGACAGAAATAATAAATCTCACGACAAGTCGACTTCAGTGGGGGTTCACAGACAGAGAATGATGTCTAAATTACCAGATCTCAAAACGAATGGAGAAAGCCCCATCTTTTCTCCTGTGTTGTCATCACGGAAGTGAACACCAACCAAAAGGCTATAATCCATTATTCTCTCAGCTTCCAAGAACTCACAGTCGCGTTTTATTTGCCTGATCATGAATATCGATCCTCATTAGAGACATATTTAGGTTGCTGAACACTTTGAATAGCCAAGTGGCACAAGCAAAATTTAAAAAAAAAAAAACAAGCATGGAGCTTACTTCATAAGCTCTTGGTACCAGTTTCTCTGTAGACGGAAAGCAAAGTTAAGATCAAGGTCTTTGAGAGTCGTGGTCTCATCAATTTCCCCTGCAGGCTTTGCAGTACTGCGTCCATGGGAAGATCCTTTGAGATCAAACCGTCTTTGAATTCTATACTCGGAGCAGAACAAGTTTCCCATGACGATAAACCGAGTCTGATAAAATGGCAAACATAATGGTAAAATTTTCTGAAAACAAAGGGACCCATGAAGCTTTAGATTAAAAACACATACCTTCTGGCCACCGACGGGTTTGACACAATGAACACCATAGAATCTAGTGACGAGGGAGTTTTCATATTGGCAGAAATGTTTGTAGTAACTTGGAAGCATTCTTAGAAGCACCTGAATAAAAGAAGACAAAAGCTTCAAGTCAAAATCCATTTAGCTAATCACAAGACTTAGTGGAGTTTATGATTGAGAAAGTAATGT